CCCCCCCCCCCCCCCCCCCAATCACCCAAGACACCCAAAAGAAATAATTTTTTTTCCTCTTCTTTGCCCTCTTTTGATTGTCTTTTCCTTCTTTTTTATATCTTCTCCTTCCTTGATTTCCTTCTATCACCCTTCTAAATCAAACCCCAATCATGTTGTTCTGACGATACGCTCTAGACCCGACCCAAAAAGAAATACAATGGGAGATCTGTTGCTTGCAACATTGACTAGTCAATTTGGAAGTTGGGACCTAGGGTGACACTACCATCGACCACGACCTCGAGATTCAAAGAGGATACTACGATGAAGATCTAAATTTGTTTCATCAAGAAGATGTCAGTGATGATGAATATCAAGCACGTATCAAAGGAGGCCACGAGATGAGTCTGCACTTAGCACACACTAGGATTTCAACATCAAGATGGAACTACTGGACTTTGACGGAAACATGAATCTTGATAAATATCATTGACTGGTTGCAAGCAATGGATCACATCTTTGAATATAAGGAAGTACCCAATAATAAGCGGGCTGAACTAGCCCTAACAAGTTGAAGAAAAAGGCCTCGTTATGGAGGGGAAATCTACAGAGATAGAGAAAAAGGACTGTATTGATCACCAAGAGGGAAAAGTTTTATGCAAAATAAATACATGTCATCCCCTTATCACCAGGATATGTTCCTCAGACTCCACAACCTATGGTAACAAGATTTTTTGGTCAAGGTGTTCATGACAAATTTTGACCAATTACAAATGAAGTGCGAGTTAGTCAAGTAAGAGAAGCACTCGATTAAATATTACTTGCGGGCCTAAGGCTGTCATTAGCAACTTTGTTCAATTGCAGCCCTCTTGGAAGTTGGTCGAAGTCTGGTCTTCAATGTAAAAAGCAGCAATAGTAGACCGTATCACAATCCTCCTTCCGACAACACTACACATTCAATCCATCTCCTATGACCACCCTTACCAATAGGACTACACCAAGAGCTAGAAAGATAGTGTCAGGGAGTGAGAATATCACCCCTAGCGGAACAAAATCAAAAAAGGGTTGTTCATGTGGGAATGTATATGCCTTGAAGTGTTTTAGGTGTCACATTTATTGCCACATCACCGCCAATAGTCCCATAAGCCGAGTTATCTCATTCATGCAATAATGCATCATCGAGGAAGTAGAGGAATTAAAGTCGAAGGATAGATAAGAAGAGGCACTTCAATTTTTGGGAGACAAATAGGGTTGTAAACAAGCCGAGCTTGAGCAAGCTCAGGCTTGGCTCGTGTTCAGCTCGTTCGCAATTGTTTGTGTTCGAAATCAGCTCGTGTTCGAAAACGACTCGTGAACAGTGAGTTCGTGTTTGAGTCTATTTAAATATCCGTGTTCGTGTTCGGCTTGAAATTGTCTCGTTAAAATTAAATTGAAAAAAATGACGTAGAGTGCTGGATTCGAACCTGAACCAAATATATGTAAAACAAGGCACATAACCATATTACCACAAGAGCGGCTACAATTTAAACTTAAATATAAATATATATAATATATTATTAGATAAATAAATTTAAATATACATATATATAATATATTATTATATAAATAATTATATAATTTTTTTTTATTTCGAGCTAAACAAAAAGTGGTTCGTGTTCGGCTCGTTTATAATTCAAGTTTTAAAAATTTATTTGTGTTCGACTCATTTACTTAACGAACGAGCCGAACACGAGCTGTTTGCGAACAACGAGCTTTTTTGACAGCCTTAGAGACAGAGGTGAAATGTTGGCCATATGGAGGATCCTACAATCATAACCAAAAAGAGAACTGTCACAGCTGAGGCACAACATCACTCAAACCACATGTATCGTAAAAGACAAAGTATGTAGTTTGATCATTGATGGTGAAGGTTGTGAAACCGGCATGTTCACACTAATCATGAAAAAGTTGGGATTTGCAACACAAAAATATCTGTGACCACATAATCTCACCTGGCGAAGAAAGGGGAAATGGCGTATGTGTAGATCAGCAATGCTTAATCAAATTCTCAATCGAAGATCAACTATGGGAACAAGTTTGGGACAATGTGGTTTTGATAGATGTATGTCACATTCAACTAGGGAGGTCATTGCAGTTTGATCGTAAAACTTAGCATAACAACTTCAAGAATGCCTACTAGTTTAAGAAGCACGAGAAGCGTAACACGTTATTGTCTATTACTGATGCAAAAGGCGTGATTGACATCGAAGATGTGTTAGTCACACAAGCCACATTCATGCAATCCATTTGAGATGTGTTGATGACACGTGCACTAGTCCTCCTAGAAGGAAAAAATTAGGAGAGCGAGATACCTGTATGTTTACAACCACTAATACACAACTTACAAGACTTGAAGACTGATAGCCTTCCCAATGAATTATTATCATAAAAGGACATTTAACATGCCATATACCTCATATTGTTATCAGTGTTAGCAAATTGACCCCGCCTACAAATTGCAACCCATGAAATACGAGGAACTACAACGTCAGGTGCATGATCTTGTAACAAGAGGAATAGTTTAAGAGAGCAGTAATTTGCATGTTGTCCCCGCCCTTATGGTACCCAAGAAGGATGGTTAATGACTGATGTGCATCAATAGTTTATTCATTAACAAAATTATCATCACGTATCAATTTCTCATATCGCGCCTGGATGATATGCTAGATCGGTTACACCGAGCTATCGTCTTCTTTAGATTTGACTTGCATGGTGGATACTTCTAGATAAAAATGTGATCGGGAGAGGTAGAAGATTGCATTCAAGACAAGTGAAAGTCTCTAAGAGTGGACAGTTATGTCTTTTGGTGTATCCAATGCACCCATCACTTCTATGTCATTGATGAATCAAGTGTTTTAGGACAACATTGAGAATTTTTTGGTAGTTTTTTTTACAACATTTTGATTTATAATAAATAAAAAATGAATCATTTTAACACTTTTAGGCAGTATTTGAGGTATTACAAGTTGAACAATTGTACACCCATGCAAAGAAAACCCACTTCATCATAAGCTAAGTATACTTTTTGGGTCATATAATATCTTGCACAGGCATTCATACGGACCTGACGAATATCATGACAATTTTAATTTGTACTGTGCCGCAGACATTCACAATGCTATGATAATTTTTGGACCTTGCCTCCTTCTACCAGAGATTCATAAAAAACTTTAGCATTATCACTGTCACCTAACAAAACTGTTGAAATAAAAAAGTTCACTTGAACAACCACAAATTAGACAAACTTTGACACACTAAAGGAAAAGGTGACTTGAGCACCAGTTCTAGTCCTGCCATATTTTAACCAGCAATTTAAAGTCGAGTGTGATGCATCCGACGTGGGAATTGGAGCAGTG